AAATGTTGTGGATGATTTATGGCAGCCAGAACATTTTCGTCATAAATGGCCATTCAGAAAAAACAAAATAAACCAAAAAGAGAAAAAGAGAATTGTGTTTTCTGACCTTCTTGTTGAGCCACATAAGATAATTCTGCAAGGCAACTGAGCTGTCTCAGGGTGCTGAGGCTTTGCTTTGTGCTTGACAAGTCTGGTCACATGGAACTACTTATTTTGGAGAAAAATTTTCCTTGACTCTTTATGACAATGCTTCTGGAGGCAGGTCACATGTAATGGCTTGCACAACACCATCCTTTCTTATGAAGGATACACACTGCTCTCATAAACCTTTCAGGGGCTGTGTGAGCCCCATAAGGAAGCCAGAAAAAACATGCCTCCTACTGGGGCTACCCAGAGAGGATTTATTTGTCAACAGTTCCCTCATCATTGCAGAATCACTGTGAAATGTCACAGACACAGGAAGTTCTTTCTCTTAGCATCTATCATACTGGGGTAGCAAACAGAGAGGGAAATACCTTTTCTTGGCATGTGGGACACATCTTTATCCATTTACTGTTTTCAATAGGAACTGTTTTCAATAGTGTGTGCCACAGACTGGAAACTTCTAGGAGTGTATGGCAAGATGAGAAGTGTAGCCAGGGAGCTGCATATAAAATATGTGTATGTTGGTACACTCAGTTGGAGTTTTCTTCTGCAGGAAAAAAGCTTAAGTACTTTAATCTGATTCTTCCATGGGAAGGGAAAATAACAAATATGTGGGGGAAGATACTTAAATAACCACCAACCTAATCTGTTAACACTTACTCATGGAAATGTTCCCACCAAACCATGAACAGGAATGTGTCTTTGATGAAGACACTCACCCCCTTCTCAGACTTTTGTGTTGTGTTCAAGGATAGGATCACATTAATCCAGGAAGCAGGCAGGGAAGGCATTTGTCTGCACAGGAAATGTGGAAGACAATATTAAGAACATCTCTTCCAGCTGCTGATGTTGTGAGGGAACACACTGGCTTTGCCATGCAGGGCACTTGGAGGACAGTTCTGTTACCTCAGAGCAGTCAGCACAGGGGCAGTGGGTCAGGCAGCTTCTGTGTCCCCAGGAAAAATCGATTCACTCAGTGGATGGCAGCAGCATCTGCAACTGAGGAAAGCACCAGCAATGAAAGTAACCTTCACACTGCTTTGGTTTCTCACTACTGCTTCCAGTAGTGGAGCTGACCCAGTGAAGGCAAACCAGGAAACTCAGCTCCCAGGGAGTGCAGGCAGGGACCCACGCTGCTGACCTACCTATCTGCAGTGAATTACAGGCTGACCAACTTCCAGTGTTGATTGTCCTCTCTATAAAATATGTCTCATACACAATTTAAAAATTTCCATTGATTGAAATGACAACCCATTTGTTCCTCCCTCACAGTGTATGAAGGCTTTTGTACTGAGGTAATTTCAGACAAACAGTAGGGGGGAAATCAGGAATCTATGGAAGAGTATTACCCAAGTTATAAAAGCAGTTTATTACTCTATTGTGTGGCTAAAATTTCTGGAATATTGTAGCAGATGTATTTTATAGAGAAATGACAACATGTTTTAATGAAATCCAGGTTTAGAGTCTGGCAACCTTTCTTCCTTGATTTTATATTTTGTAACCAAGTCCACAATTCCACCAGGAAAAATTAATAGAATATTTAGCACACCTCACCATCTCATCTTAACGGGTATTTGTATAGAGAAGAAAATATCTCTGTGTAACAGACCAGGAGTTACTTTTTCTTTACTTGAAACTGAAGTCTGTTTTCCTCTGCTGATAACTACAAGCTCCAGTTTGCTCTGATCCGCTCCAGGTGTAATTCAAGCATTAATTACAATTTTTTGCTGGATCTCTCTTGCATAAGTTGTACACTCTAGCTGATTTACATTGTGAATAGTTTTGCACTGGATCAGCCTGAAGTGCTGTGGCTCTCCAGCTCCCTCCTCACACTGATCAGGCGATGCAGGCAGGGTCACATCCTGCATCCTTTATCACTGCCCACTGTGGGAAGCAGCACCCTGAGGAAAACAAGATAAATCCCCACTGTTCCCAGCTCCTGTGTTCAGGACTACAGAACTCAGGAGCAGTAGAGTACAGTACCAGAGCTCAGGAGCAATGTAGACATCCTTCCAAATCCCTTACATGCCCAGGTGTCCAATATTAGTCTCCTCAGACTTCAGATAAGTTGCAGGATTTTTTGGTATTTTTTTTAATATTACTGTTCAATCAGTGTGTCTGCTTTATGACAATATTTCTAACAGGAGTAAGCATAACTAACAAATTGTATTTCTTTCTCAAAAGTATGTGGATGCTGCAGGTTTCTGACAAACTGGTATTGGTATCTAAAATGAACGGAAGTAACAGAAATGTGAGTGATAATGCTTATCTGCCTAATACATTATTCCTTGAATATTTTTTTCTAAAACTGAAAAGAAGTATCCTGAAAATAGTCTTTTAGGAAACACCTGATATGGAATACTTCCAGCAGAATGGCAGAATTATAACATTTGGCAACATCACAAACCACTTTCAACTTTAATTAAGGTCTTACACTGGCAGATATGAGGCAGCTTGTTTACAAGGCACAGCAGCGGCTCTGCCTCGCGAACGCCGCCTGTGTGTCTGGAGCAAGCACAAACCTGCACAGCCTGACTGGTGCTGCTGTCACATTAGCAGTCAAACCATTTTGCAATATTGTAGAACACTAAATCACCTTCATTTTTATTAACTTTCGGTCCTTCTGATGACTTTGCAGAAAAAAAAAAAAAGAAAAAGAGAAAAACAAATATGTAATTTATAAACAAATACAGATTCCTCCCAGGTAGCTAAGTCTTGGTGCTCCTGAATCAGGATGCTGCCTCGGGGGTGTCTGTAGGCTTTACACATCCAGTGCCAGAGTCCTTTTCTACATCTGAGCCCCACCAGTCTGTCCTGCACTGACTCATTCACCTGCTGCCTCTCAGGCAGGTTGAGTAGGACCACGGAAGAGTTACAGTGGATTTTCTGAGCCCAAACCATCTAAATTCAAATTAGGGAACAGAAACTGAAGCTTATATAAAACCAGTGTAATTGTCTAGCAGCACTACAGGCTTTTTGAAATTCACACTAACTTTGGTACAAAACACAGGAAATTAAAACACTGTAGTGAAATCTACTGCACTTGGAGCATTCTGAACATAAAAACACACCCATGATATCACCATGACACAAAATGTAGGAAATACCAGTGATTGCATTTGCAAAGAAGTTGTTCTTGTGTTGCATTTGCAAAGAAGTTGTTCTTGTGTTCTTCCTCCACTAGTTAAAGCTGGTTTGCAGTAGAAGCTCCATCAAATTTGAGACCTTGCTCTCTCAATTGATTGTAAAGATATTTGAAAGTTGATTGTGCTGTTGCCAGAATAGGGTAGTTGAACTTTCCAAAACCAAGTTAAAGACCAAGTCCTCTATCAAACAGACTTTATGAGATACACATACAACTAAGAAAAATTAAGGGGCTGTATGTAGTCCTGGTTAGAAAGAACTCAGAAACACAGCCAATAAGCCAGAAGTCCTGGGAGTCTTGGGAACCTGGAAGTAGTATGCTGCTGAGGCTAACTCATCTTCCTTGAACTCGTATTTGATACACTCATGGGTCTGAAATGTATGGAGTTCTTTATTCTGGTCATGATGTAATATTTCTAGTTTCTGGGAGTTTTGTCTCCATAGCTGATATCCCAGGTTCAGCTACACCATTACTTCCTGTGTCTTCCCAAGGATATTTGTTATTTGCTACAATCCTGTTCTGCCTAGAAAGTTTTAAGTTACCCCATCCCAACTGCTCCTTTTGTTTTTCCCTTCCAGTCACAAGTTACAGTGTTTTGTAGGCCAATGGGCTCCTTGACCCACAGTGCTCCTCTCTAAATGGCAGCTTTGCCCAGTTCCATATCCTAATGGCACCAACTCCCCAACTCATTCATGCCTGTCTCAGGTGCCCCAACAAATAACTCACAGTTTGCTACTTAAATAACCAGTTCCTTAAGAACACGTGTTAACAATACATAAAGGGACAATTCACGCTTCCAAACCACTCATCTCCTTCTCTACAGGCATTCCCAGCTGGAAAAGTTCTAGTCATATTTTGGGTCTTTTCACAACAAAAGCTGGAGACTTGCTTCTATGCACATTCTCATCCTGCCTCACTGCCTCGGTGAGGATCTTTCATTTTCCTTACAGCGCACCCTATATATATGTGTGTTTGCATGTACAAACATCTGGTGCATAGCACACAGTGACCATGAAAAAGCAGAGGAGACCTCTTGGCCCCCAAAACCTAAGGAAATGTGAAGGGAGGGTGAAGCAATCCAGCATCCCGCTGCCACTGAAGGGACATGGCTTACTCCAGTCCTATTCTCTCCCTCCGCCCCCCAGCTACTCCTGGACATGTGTTTCCCACCACTCGCCTTGCACCAAGTCTCCGATCGCAGAATCAGTTTAAAAGTTTCAAGTGAAATTAACTGACAGAGAACCAGCCCCCACTAGATAGTTTTCTATTAACTTGTATTAGGAAGCATCTAGTGAGAGCCATGCCTGGCAGAAGGGAGGGAAAAGCCCGTCACGTGAGTAAGGACAAGCTCAGGAGCCAAATACCCCTCTGGCAAAAGCAAGCACTTGGACCAACTCCAGTACACTTGAGACCTCAGCCTCAACCTGAGGGAACCCCCTTCATGGTGTTATGCCTTGTTGAACCACACAGCCCCATCCCGAGTAAAACCCACACCTTGCAGCCACACCACTGCATTTTCATTTCCAAATAAATTTCAACCTTTGCTTCCAAACATAAGAATCTAAGATTTTAGACTGAATATAAATTGTGTTAATGCATAAAAAAAATCAATGCTTTAATTTACTTAAAACTCAGGCCCACTAGGGTCATATTTCACATAAATAATGTACTCCAAAAGTTCTAGCAGAAGGAACTACTCAGATTTGTAATGGAATTGTGCTTTATTTATTACAGCTGTTCCCTTACAATACTTGACATAAATTCTTTTGCTTCAGAAATGGTAGCTCACACACTGAGCCCAAAGTGTGTATTATCATGGCAGAGATAATTAATTTTAGCAGAGCAATAGACTGAATTGTTGCTGGTGAAATCAAATTCCACAAATGGTGGCAAGGCTGACTCATTGCCTATGGTAACAAAAGGATTATATGATGTAATTTAATGCAGATTAAAAACTGTACAACACTATCCGGACTACTACAAAAGGAAGGTAATAAAAATTGAGGGTGAACTGTAGAAGGTTGCTGGCTGTCTTATCTTGTATTTGGTGAGCCATAAATCAATATTTTAAACCAAGTACTGTTGATGATATTAGAGTGAAATGCAAGAGGTTTTTTTTTGTTTGGGTTTTTGGTTTTTTTTGTAGTATGGACTCATAACACTTTTTATTCTTTATGATAGACACATAAACATAATACATTAATATATTTTTATAATATCTATCTCCCCTAAATATTTTTCCAATAAATAATACAGTTGAAACGTATTCAGAAGAGTGAAATCAAACCTGCAGAGCACAGGTACTTCAACACTTACAACACCTTAACAAGCACCTGCTTTCTGCTTTTTGCATGGTGCAGAACTTGGAATACTTCCTTCTGGTGCTGGAGGTACACTCGGACAGCAGCCCAAACTCACCCGAGCCTCCTGACTCAGGGACGTGCACTGCACAACGGGGACCCGAGACACGGCTCCGATGGCGCACGGGCTGTTCTCTGCTGCAAGAACCAACAGAGCATCGTGTCAGGAGCGCGGGCACACCGCAATAATACAGCATCAAATACGGCTTAACGGGGTGCTTAGGGGATGGGAGGATGGGGGTACGAGGACAGGCTGAGGGAGCTGAGACTGTTCACAGATTCGGCTCACCATGCGGGAATACCTGGCGGGCAGGAGCAAAGACTGACAGCCAGCGATGCCCCGCCACAGAACCGGAGGCAAAGGGCACAAACTGACATAACAAGAGAATTTGTTTTTTTTAACTGCAAAGGCCAGAGAGCACTGGAGCCGGCTGCCCGGAGATCTCCATCCCCGGGCACGCTCGGAGCCCACGCACCCTCGCCGATCCTGCTTCGCGAGGGCTTTGGTCCTCCAGAGCTCCCTTCCAGCCTCAGCAAACCTCTGAGTCCCTGATATGGGATTATTTTGCACCTGCAAGAGCGCTTCTGCTTTATTTTACAGAGAAACTTAACTTTGTTTTACTCTCAAAATGAGAAATAAATTCAGATGAAATAATCCAAGCGTAAACTCAGTGAAAACTGAGCCCCTATGTCCCCACCGCTTTGAGTAACAAGCAACTCTCGACATTTTAAAAAAGCTATCACAAAACCACATATTTCGTATTCTTTTATAGATATTATAAATTCCCCGCTTATTTTATAAGACACAACCACAGACTCAAATTTAACCCAAAAAAAGGTTGTGGAAAAAAGAAAAAAAAGAACGTAGCGGGAAGCGTATGCATTTGACCTTTTCCTGACTGTAAGGGAAGGTAGGCCCTAAGGCGATTTCGCGCCCGTTTACCCCACCCTGCCGGTGGCTCCCCGCGGCTTCCCCGGGCCGGGCGGCGCCTCAGGGCGGGGCGAGCGCCGCGGGGCCGCCCCCGCCCCCGCCCCGCTCTCGCGGGATGGGCGGGGCGCGGCGCGACATCCGGCAGCGGCGCGGCAAGATGGCGGTGGAGTCGCGGGTGACGCAGGAGGAGATCAAGAAGGAGCCGGAGAAGCCGATCGACCGCGAGAAGGTGTCCAGAGTGCGGGTGCTGGTGCCGCGCCGCTTCGCCGGCCGCGCCAGGGCGGACAGCGGGGGTGGGGGGGAGGTGGGGAGCGGCTAGTGGCGACGTGAGGCCTCCGGCGGAGGGGGGAGGGCGTGGCGAATGGCCTCTGATCCTAATCCCCACCCCTGCGGCTCCTCGCTCCCCTCCCATCTCCATCCTCACCCCCGCCTCACCCCGCAGACGTGCCCGCTGCTGCTTCGCGTCTTCACCACCAACAATGGGCGGCACCACCGCATGGACGAGTTCTCCCGCGGCAACGTGCCCTCCAGCGAGCTGCAGATCTACACCTGGTGAGTGGCGCGGGCCTGGCCCGGGCCCCAGCCCCAGCTGGAGCTGTGCGGGCTCGGACACTCCGTGCGGCTGAAGTGCCCAACCACCGCTGCGTGTAATCGGTGGCTTCTGCTGTGGCGGTGGTTATCGCAACACATCCATTCGACGCAGAGGTTTTCCTTTAATGTGTATATGCTGTTCCGACAGCCCCGTTTATCCAGTTGAAACAGCTGTCCCAGAAGGCTTGAAATGTTATGTGAATGGTTCGTTGGTTGAACTCAGACCCTTCTGAGAGTGGAGCAATGAGTATTCTTTTTGCATCGTCAGGTAGCAGTGCTTTAACAGACATGTGCCTTTTATTACTCTCAAATTTATTTTGGAGAACTGCCTTAGGCTCCATTGCAAACACGTTAGGTTTTGTTTGTATTCTTTTGAAGGATGCCTTTGAAAAGGAATTATGCTGCTTTTTAAATCCTTCATGATGTTTGCCAGACTTGTAACTTGTATGTTGTGTAGTTGAGTAAATCCATTTTTGTGGCTACTAAAGCATGCAGTTCTAATGTACTTCTAAGTGGGATTTATGGACTTTGTCCAGGCTGTTGGTGGTGTCTGAGTTGTTTCCCATGTGCAGAAGTCAGTATGGGCATTGTCTGTCAACACACTACTCCTTGGTTGCCTGAAGCTCGGAGCACCGTCTGTATAATTGGAGTAAATTCACTTGCGATGACTGAGTACTTTTGTTCTTGAAATTCTAGACATGAGCTTTAGCCCTGCTCTGGTTGAAGGCTGGGTAAAGGTCAGAAACAGAAAGCTATTTTACTTTCCTGCTTTTCTTACATTTCCTCTAATAGTTAATAACTTTATTTTAATACAGATGTCAGTTTAGGTGAGGAAACTCACACTGTGGTTTGTATGAATGTATATAAAAAAAAAAGGGCTTCTGCTGTTTAAATGGTAACTCTTCAGAGAGACCTGGAAATGCATATGTTGAAATGTATACAGAGAAGAAGAGATTAATCTGAACATTGCAGTGAATCAGACACATTTGCACTAGAGCAGGTTGCCTCCAGTGTGCAGTAAGTGGTGAATTCTCCTAGGTGTTACAATCAATAACTGTGGACATAGGGTATGCCAAGGCAAAGAAATATGGTTAGGTTGTAGCAATATATTGATTCCATCTTAAATGTTTTGGGAAGCTTTTTTTACTGTTCCTTTGAGAGTATGAAGTGCTTTGGTTTGTTTGTTTAATCTAGGATGGATGCAACTCTCAAAGAGCTGACCAGCTTGGTGAAAGAAGTTTACCCAGAAGCACGGAAGAAGGGCACACATTTCAACTTTGCAATTGTTTTTACAGATCTCAAGAGGCCCGGCTATAGGTAAATGGCATTTCTTCTCTGAGTTAATAGAATACTTTGGGCACCAGAACAGTAAATTATTCTTCATTAACACTGATACAAAGTTCGGAACCCGCATACCAAATGTCTGAAGTTCTGTGTGATGACCTCTACAAACCCTTAAGTTGTGCTTGGTGACCATCCCTGTCAATGTGTTCCCAAAGCTATGAACATGTGTGCTTGAAGGCTTTGGTTTGTATTGGCAACTGGTATGTGGCCCTCCAACTTGAGATAATACTTTGTTCCTGGTAGGTCTTTCACCTGAGTTACAGCAGTGATCTTGTAGCAGGTGTTTCTCTTCCAAAATGGCATGAGCTAATCTTTGTCAGCATCCCTGCTTTGGAATCTGGTGGGGTGTCTTGTTCTTTGTCTGTATGGCAGGGGATAAGTGGTTCTTACTAGTATTTAACATAATAGGGTAGGAGGCTTCTCTGTGCTGTCAGAAAGAGCATTTGGCGTAGCTTTTCTTTTTCTCTGCACCCAGGATTGCAGAGAAAACCTGCAGTGTTTTGAGTACACAGCCACATGTGTACAGTGCAGAGAATGGCATGGGAAGGGGGTTATGAGCCACTGCAGTTCCTGTTTTGGACATCTGGAGAGATTGGCCACTGATAACTAACTTGCCTTTCCTCTCACAGGGTGAAGGAGATCGGCAGCACCATGTCGGGCAGGAAGGGCACAGATGATTCCATGACATTGCAGTCGCAAAAATTCCAGATAGGAGACTATTTGGATATAGCAATTACTCCTCCAAATCGTGCACCACCCCCATCAAGCCGCATGAGACCTTACTAAAGTCTCGATTCTCGTTCTATGATTATGTATTCTGTTTACTCCTACTTGCTGTTCTAAAGCAGGCTTATTTTTTTGCTTTTGTTGCTAAGCACCTGAAGACAAAGCTGAGCATTGTAGAAGAAAGTTAACTCTTAAACATTAACTTTTAGTTTGTTAGAAGAAACTCCTTCAGCAGTGCCATCATCCTATCCCTGATTGTTATAGTTTGAATAGTAACTTAGTGTTTCACCAGTGTTCTAAAGACTTCCATTAAATATGACCAGGAGGATTACAGGTGTTCTGTTGTTCTGTCTTGTTTGGAATAAAAATTGATGTTATTATTCCTTTGCCTGTTTAGTGGTGTATCAATGCTCAAGGCTGCTCTGTGTTAGAAGTTACTAATGGTGCTGGGGGGTGTTGAGAGTGTTCAGCAGTCAGCTTCTAGAATCTGAAAAGTGAGGAAAGGGTAGCGTAGAGATCTCAGTTGTCTATGGGGCAATTGGAAGACTGATGTGTGTGGTGTTGCCTGGTACCCTAAAGAGCAGGATGAAGAAGGGGTGACCTATGTCTCAGCATAAGTGATGCTTGGTGCTTGCCAGCCTGACTGCCTCTGTCACTGCAGGGGGAGATGCTGAGATGTGCTGGTGCCTCTGGTCTTCCAGTAGGGTCCAGCTGTCCTTGGCTGACTGGGAGCATCCAGCTGGTCTGGGCAGGACCAGGTACTTGGTTTCTACACCTTGAGCTGCTGTGTGCCAAGAGCAAGGCAAGGGCAGGAGCAGAAGCAGTAACTCACTAGAATCTCTACTTTCCTTGCCTAAGGCCTGAGCAGAGGCTAGAACTGAAGTAAATGTTCCTGTCTGCTGAGAACAAGGTGTGCTTTCTGTCATGAACTGGGGTCTATATAGGTTTGGTTTTTTCCCCTCTCAGGAATCCCTTGGTTCAGTATAGCCTGAGGGTGTTCTGCCCTTGGCTTAACCCTCTTCTGTCCCCCTTCTCTGGGTTCTAAATTAGGGAGTTGCAATTTCAGCCTTCATGAATGTCTCTCATTTGCAGAATCACCTACATCTAAGTCACTTCTCCCCTAGGACTGAGAAGTGCTCCCCACCTTTTTTTGAAGAAAGCTCAAGAAGACACTTCTAAATGCTGCTTATTGAGGAGTGAGCCTGGAGGTGGCAGTGGAGCTGATTTATTGTTGTCAGAATTGGCATGGGCAGGATGTTTTCTTGTGGCACAGTCACCTCTGGTGTGAGGCAGTGGTCCTTCAAATAGTGATGCTATGAAAAACCCATGTGTTGGAACAGCTCAGGGATTTGTGTTACCAGGGAAAGGCTTGCTCAGGTTGGGGACACTTGACAGACTGGACAAACAGAAAAGCAAAGGCTACTGCTAAGTGGTCTCACTGATTGCCCCAGGGCATCATCTGTCCTGCAGTGTGAGTGCGGTGAGTAACCAGCATATAATTACAGTGCACTAAAGGGAAGGACAAACCTCCCATTAGAGGTACACAGGAATATGGCCATTTCCTCAGTTTTGCACCCTGGTTTTTGCTTCAATTGCATTTAAGGATAATTCTTAAATGTAGTCACTATAAAAGGCAACAGTGACAACTGAGCCTGTGTCTGTGACTCAGCTGCTCTGGGAGGTGACTTGACTTTGCTGCTGGAATGGGAGCCATGGCCAGGAAATGCTGGTGCCTGCCCAGCTGGCAGAGAAAAAGAACCTCTACTGGCTTTATATGTGGTGGTCCATGAAGCAAAATCACCAGGAAATGAAAGTACAGAACTGTCTTCAGTAGCAAATACTTAATTCAGCATGTTTGGTTGAGGAGTTTACCTTCCCTTGACTGCCATGAATGCATAAATGTCAGCTGATCTCTTCCCCAGCTGTTTCAGGATAAACATCTTTTGGGATCTCTTGCTCTCAAATCACACAGAAAGGTAATGCAGATGTGCAGAGCTTATTATTATGGGAAAAGACACTTGAGAGAAGAATGTAGTTCAGGTTAGGGGTTTCTTATATCAATATATATCAACTGGCAATCCAAGCTGATGACAGCAGCTGTGAAAGCAGATGTGGCAAGAGGTGAAAGGGAAGTGAAAGTGTCACCAGCTGAGCTCCTAGAGCACAGGAGAGGATTCAATCACAGTAACCTGGTTGTGTTTATCTCTGAAAGCTGCTATAGACATTGAGGAGGGATGTCAGTCCATAAAAAGAGCAAAATATGTAGAGCACTGTGGTTTGGGGAAATTAAGACAGTGAAAAATCCCATATGCTCAGGAAGTGGTGTAGACAGCACTGCATCCCAATCTGTCAATCCACAGGATTTGCTTTGTAAGCAG